GGACCAGACGAATTGGAGTGAAATTTTGTCACTCCAAAAGATTGAAATTTCACTCGAGCTTTCACTGGAAGGGGCTATTTTCAGCCTTTTTCAGTCTAAAATCAGAGTGATTTTCACTCTAAATCGTCTTGTCCCTAATTTCAATCTTTCTGATTTAGAGAGTAGTGATCACAGTTATATAGTTGATGAAGATTTACAGCCTTTAGAATGAAGTATTAGGTTAAACAAAATGAAACAGCAAAATTTAGAGTTGTGGAGGTAAAAATAGTTTTGGATGAAGGTGTATAGTGCATGTATTCAACTCACCTGTCTATTTTTTGGTTTGAATATTCGACACGGGCGTTCATTCCTGGTAGAGAATATTTATCAGAATAAGTCTCGTAAGTCACAAAGGAATCTTCCTTTCTACACCTTCAACTGTGGACAAGAAAAGGTGGTGATAACTGAAATCCTGAAAATAAACATAGATGGTCTGCTGCAGAGATAAGGTCCTTGTTTGTGATTCCTTGTGGCTGAGAGGTACTGTGTATTGTTCAACACATGGGATAGCAAATCCCTTCTGAATTTCTAGGCGCTGCCATTTCAAAGGTGTTGTCATTTCTTTCCTTCGGAATTTTATCAAACATATGAATAACGTATTTACTCCTAACCGTGCTAAATCCAACAAATTTTATGGAGTGCTCTCATGTAATCTGAAGCTTACGGTTAAATTTATGGTGTGACATTCTTGTTTACAATTTTTGAAATTCTCGAGGTATTGTTTGTGAAAGTGTTGGAGGAGGGTTGCACACTTTGCATGTAGTGCAAAATGTGGTCATTCTATAATGTCCAAAGTGTGACGTTTTTGCGTCCCTGTTACACCTGACCTGTGTGAAATGTGGAAATATCATTGAAATGGATTTCAAACTACTACTATTTGTTCGGCAGGTAATTTGCATTAATTCATCACTCTTGGAAATTAGAGAACATGTTCTGACCTTATAAAATCCTGTGTCAGATGTGACAGGGACACAAACGAAATGGACCCCTAATTTATAGAATGACCCCCTTTGCATTTGCAGAAAGACTTATGTGCTTCTAGTAGTTTATATTTTTATTTCACCTGACAAGGTGAGAAAAAACCTGAAAATTGAAAGAAACTTGAATTAAAACAATGTTAACATTGTCAATCTTATTTTTCACGGAGAGGCTTTGCGTCTCTGAGTTTTGCCAAACTGTCCACTTTTACACTTTAAGCTGACAAGTTTAGGTTTTTTTTTTCTCTCGCATGACCAAATATGGCTGGGCTAATTGGAAAGCTCGCTGGCGGGCTTGGGTGCTAAAACCCGTCTGACGATGTATGAATATTTAATACACAACAAGAAACCTAATCGTGCTCGTACCTTGGAGTGCCATTTTGCCCTGTTCACAAAACAAAAAAACCCCCTCTCCCACAATTCCTTGCAAGACCCTGGAAAATAAGTAGTGTATCCCCTCCTTGCGAGCGGCTGGAATTTCGATTGACCAAGACCTCCGACCACCTTTTGTGCTTTTTTGTTTTGGTTGCTTTTTATTGCTGCTGACTTGAAGTAACATCTTTTTGGGCGGGCAATTTCAGAAAATGTTCAAATTGAGAAACACTTTCTTGCGTTGAAGCAGTGTTCTTGTGTGGCCTAATGTGCCGAAATTGTGTACTGTATTGAACACGCGATGGCAGTACAAGAGCCATTTTTAGTTACACATGCATTGTTATGCTGTAACTGGCCTTACTGTGAACAGGTATTGTCCAAATTCAAACAGGAACAACGGTCTCGTGGAAATCTTAAATAATGAGATTCTGCCATCCGTATTATAATGTACTCTCTTGACTTAATTGAAATCTTTTCTAAAACTGATACAGCGTCTGACAAGCACTCCAAACTGCTTGTTATCATCACTGCGAGCGATGCAAAGCGAGGGGGGAAAAAAACTCATCTCGAGTACAGTTCGAAGAGAGAAGCCTGCAAGATCTTTGAAAACTATATCACAGAATCTCATTAAAGCCGTACGCTGCAGAAATATAAAAAATTGTATGCGGGCGGGGAAAACTGGAGAATCTGGCGACCCCTTCAACATTTTTTTTTCTCGGCCGAGCCCATTTGGCTATTCAAACCCCACAAACAGGAACGGCGCTCAGGGGTAATACAGTCATTTAGCGAGAGTCCCGCGGTTTTGTAGGGCCTGGCTGAGCCGAGCCCCTTGTACGGTACCTAGTGTGAAACTGTGAAATGCAACCCCACAGCTAGGCTTGACCTAAATATGGGGGCTGCCGGTTTTTTGCATACTGACACGAAGAAAAAGGGTGGATTTGAACGTGATGTACGTGTGGGTGTGCTTATGCTGTCTTTGGTTATTGTGCAGCAAGCCATCCGTGGAAAGGTGTGGTGCATGCTGAGTTTCCTTATAGTTTCATTCCTCAAAAGTTGGTTTTTTGATAGTGTGCAGTGTACCTACGTCTTTGTTCATCTTCATTAGGAATATTGTTATAACCTTTCCCTTGCTACACGATGCTAACCCTGACAAATGTGTTGGACTTTATAAAGACGACATCGACATCACCGCAATTTAATCACTGTGGTTGAACTGAACCCTTTTCCAAGGGAAGAAAAAATGAAAATCAGACTGGTTTGACTGCTGTCCATCATGAAAGCAGACCTCATGTTTACGATTCGAATAATGTAGCAAGTTTGAAATGTGGAATCTCTTAGAGCAGGATGCTAGTATGGCATTCTGATCCAACTCTGACTCAGGTCTGTTGACATGGGACCGCCAAAAGAGAATTTTCCACCTTGCTGACATCGAAACACAGTTAGAACACTAATATTTTCATAAATGCTCTTGAATCTCCCCGAGGCAGACAAGACCACATCAACCGCAATCGGTGGAGACGTTTTTTTTTTTTCCCTGGCTTTCCTTGTTCTCAGTTTACGGACGTGCCTAAAAACACTCTATCGGTCAGGGGAGAGAACAAGGGAATTGATATGTACCGGGCTTGTAGAATGCCGGCAAACAGGCCGAGCCCAGGGACTATGAAGAATTGTTTTGTTCACTCTACGGGCATCGCAACTGCTCATTAGGCAAATGAGTTTTTAGTGCATCAACTTGCTGATCATTTTTCTTGAGATAGTGTTGGGTTACTCTTCATTGGGAGGACAAGACTGCAGACAAACCACGTCAAAAAAAGGGTAATTTTCTTGGTTTTTTTGGGGGGGTTGTTCCTGACTTCTCAAAATTCATCGGTCCCATTGAATCTTGGAGAGCAGGGCTGGGAAACAGTGAAGTTTCAGGTGGTGGCAGTGGGTGGGTTTTTTTACACAGCCGGGCATGTCTCTCCTGTGGTTGTATAATTTTACAGGACTTCTGAAATG